TATCTATCCTTCTTTCCTTAGAAAGATTTTGAGTGGATGAGGTGAGGTCGCTCTCCTGCAGCCTTTTATGATGTGTCATGCACACTCATGCCCGTGACGACGTTTTTGTGTGGAATAATGCAAGTGTAAAAGAAAATACGTGCTTTGCTGTTTCTCTGCCCGTGAGCTCCCTTAACAGATAATATTTAACACTTTCACTGTCCGATGTGAGGAATGTGTGTGTCCTTTTCACCTCTGCATTACAGAAAGACAATAAATTTGGTTTTTGTAATCTTTTATTCATTCCTAGTACCCTCAGTAGTAGCAGTATTTTTATTTTCACATGATCAATTGGTATTTTAAAAAGATATGGCTGGGTGTGGTGGCTCACTCCTGTAATCCCAGCACTTTGGTAGGCCATGGTGGGCCGATCATTTGAGGTCAGGAGTTCGAGACCAGCCTGACCAACATGGTGAAACACTGTTGGAGTATTATAAATTTAGGAAGACAAGTGTGATCCAGGATTTGCAGTGTTGCTGTGTTAAAAAAAAAATAATAATTAAATTACTATGATTGAGAGTAGTTTGGGGATAATCGTGAAAAACAAAACTTGGTCGATTTCTGGTATATAAATTTTTTTCATATTCCCTTACCTCATGCTCTTTATCAAACTTATTCTCAAAATATCTAGTAAAATATTTATGCTGATTTTGACTGCTTGATAGGTATCAAAACATGGATGTTTCCTACATAAAAACAGACATTCACACTTTCAGGAAGAACTCATTAGGCAATTAGCCCTTTATTTGTAAAGCTATATTTATTTGGTTCAAAGGTTTACGTTTTTCACTTAATCCACAAGACAATTCTATTTTCCTCTTATTTTAATCTGCTTCTCGTTCTTACAAAATGTATCTGTTGAAGAACTGTGCTGTAGCTGCCCCCACGGTCTGAACTCTGCAGACTGCATATTGATGGTGAAGCTCAACGTGCTCTTCTGTCTCCTGTCCTGTCATTTCTACTCACCGGCAGCTGGGTCCAGAAAATGAATCATACTTAAGTTTGGTCTTTAAAAACCTGTAAGTAGGGTATAGCAAGGCTACAAAAAGCACGTAATTTTGCCATGTCTTTATGTGATCTTAACAACCATTAAATCCCAATACCTAAGTTTAACCATTTGTTAGCGGTTAAAATTATGAGATTCTAATGCAATTATTTTATTTTTTTGTGTTTGTTAGAATATTGTTATTAAAAAAATTCTCTCATCCAGTATTTTGTTATGCATATAGAGTTAATAGAAAATGCAGGCTACCTGCTTATTTTTTCACCTTTCCTAAACAATTTTAATAATGATGGATTCGGTTCTATTGATAATCTGAAAGCAGGCAATTATTTTTTGATATCATTATGTACTCATAGATACAAATAAGTTTGATCTGTTCAATTCATTGCAATCATTAAAATTATTGAAGTTCAAATGCTGTCATTTTGGTTAGTGGAAAACCCACCAAATTCCTGAAGACTGTTTTAAATCAATCAGTCTTTGACAGCTTATTTGCTAACCGACATGACAATATTTGCTAGGCTCCGCCTGCCTATTTCCTGTCTGAGACCTGGAATCAGTGATGTCTTCAGCAAATCTAGTTTTCTGGGAGTGAGAAGTGACATTTCAAGACCACAATCTAGGTCATATTGCTGCTGCATTAGTCATTGTTTCTAGGTATTTATACTGGAAAAGAGTAGAAAATACTTCCAGGCAGGAATTATATATAGCCCAGATCTCTCCACTATAAAAGATGAGAAACAGTGACCCACACAGTAGCAATTTTCTGTTCACATGGATACTTTTAGTCAAATTTCCAAGACTAAAGTGCTTTAAACTAAACTATTCTCTATTTCATTTGCATTTTCATGTCCCTTATTCCATATTAAAAATTCTTTTTCTCAAGGACACAGAATATGATAAATCAGAACTGCCACGAATTATTCATTTTTAAATGATTTTTAGATTACTAGTACTACCACCATTGTGATTACTAAACTTAAATAAATTAAAGCTAAAAAGGGTTTCTTGAAATATGCTGTATTCTAAAAAGTACAGGAAAACTAATTTCACATGAAAATAATAGCAATGTATAAAGGGCAAATTCTATGCAATGTTATAAGAGAATAAGGAACATAACTATATAAATGCACACATACACAAAATAGAAATCTGAAGCCTAGCCTCATTTTAATTAGCCTTACTTTCTCCTAATGCCAAGGAAAAGAAGACAAGGATTCCAACTATTAATTTACTGTACTCAGGTGGTAAACCAATGATATTAGACTACGAGATAAAGTTATGTTAACTGGAAAGGTTGTTAAAACTAATAATACTTACTAGTTTAATTATCTACTGAGAAATATTAAAAATTAATTTTAAAACTACAATAAATTTTTCAACAAAAACAGTAATAATGGAATTCAGGTAACAGGGTATAGTATTCATATACAAAAACTGTATAAGCATATTATATATGTTTAAAGATGACCTGATTATTATGACTAACTGCTGCATCCCTTTCTGCCATAAACAGCTTGAAAACTGTAAAAATATACAATACACTGGTTTTTAGCTACTGAAAATAAACAGCATAGAGAACTGTGATCTGTAACAAAAGACAGACAGGCAAAGTAAGCCCCACCTTTCTTTAAAGACTGCAGTGCAGGGAGAGAACACAAATCTCAAATTTAGAATTTAGAAATTGAGTTTAAGGGGTACTCTTTAAATAGGACAAAAACACTAATTTAAGTTGATGACATAATTATCTAAACTCAAGAAGAGTGAGGGGCCTGAAATTTACAAGGCAAAATACTTTTTAAAAGTCTAAAAATACTACATTAGAGTCCTTTTGAGTCTAGCAGAATACCAAGCAGCTCTGATGAAAAATAAAACTGCGTGAGCACTGACAAAGGGTTACTGCCAGGGATGTGGGGTAATTTACAGAGCTTATACAGGGTTCAGGCACTTGTAGGTTCCCAGCATCCAGAGCAGAAAAGCCTTATCGAATCCCTGGGAATGCATTAGAGATTTAAGAATCATTACACCTTAGCAATTAAAACTACTCTAGATCCAGTATAACAAATTTAAACACAGGTCTTTAAGACAAAGATGATACACAAATGATTGTTGGTTCAACCGACTTCATCATCATTAAATGGAGACTAAAGTAATCCTGATATTTAACATCATAAAATTCAAAATGCCTAGCATCCAAGAAAAAGTTACTAGAGATCTGAAGAAGCAGGAAAATATGCCATCATTAGTAAAAAAAAAAAAATCGCTCAATAAGAGCAGGCCCAGAATTAAAGACGAATTTTCAGAACAGACTTCAAAACAGCTATTATAAATATATTTAAGCATTTGAATATGAAACCAACAAGAGTATAATAAGGACAGAAATGCAAGCTATAAAAATGGAACTTATGTAGCTGAAATGAATATTTTACTATGAGTTTAACAGCAGACTAGCGATTGGAGAAGAAAAGATTAATGAACTTGAAGACATAGGAATTGAAACTGTCTAACCTGAGAAAGAGACAGAAAAGGGGCTGAAAAAATGGAACAGTTGCTTAGTGCCCAGTGGAACAGTGTTCAGGAGTCAAAAATATTTTAGGGAATATCTGAAGACAGGAGAAAGAGAAAAAAAAAGGGAGCACCTGTGCTTTAAATTTTGCAACATCAATAAATCCGAAAGCCCACAAGGTCAGGAAGCTTAGCAAGTTTCAAGTAAAACCAACACCATTTATATCTTAATCAAAGTTTTACAAACAGATATAAAAACATTTGAAAAGTAGCCACGGAAGAAGAAAGACATACTAAAATACAGAAAACGAGCACCGATTTCTCCACAGAAACAATGGAGGTCAGAAAACAAAAATGTAACGTCTTTCAACGTCCTAAAGAAAAGAAAAATCAACCTAGAATTATTTCTGGTGAAAATGTTGGAGCTGTCACATTATTTTTTTTAAATAAGGGAATTAAAAAATATAAAAACTACCATCTCTACTTAATCTATTTCATTATAAAGAACATTTTTACATTACAAAGAACACTTTAACAACAAACAAGTCAGGAGAGCAAATTCAAAATAGCAAAGTCCTTTATATCAAAAGAATTAAAGCTGTAAGAAAAAAAATCTTTTCATATTATTTTTCTCCATTTCATCACAGACTGATAAAAATTCAAAAAAAAAGTCTAAAATCATTATATGAATCTTTGCTTAAAACTTTATTTATTTGTTTGTTTGTTTGTTTGCCTGCTTGCTTGTTTGAGACAGAGTCATGCTCTGCCGCCCAGGCTGGAATAAAGTAACGGGCATGATCTCAGCTCACTGCAACCGACGCCTCCCGGGTTCAACTGACTCTCGTGGCTCTGCCTCCTGAGGGGATTATAGGTGTACACCACCATGCCTGGGTAGTTTTTTGTATTTTTAGTAGAGATGGGGTCTCACCATGTTCCCCAGGCTGGTCTTAAACTCCTGAGTTCAGGCAATCTGACCACCTTGGCCTCTCAAAGTGCTAGGATTACCGGCATGAGTTACTGTGCCCAGCCTAAAACTACTGAACTAAATGCTTTCTCCTATCTTTTTTAACCATAAATTCTGATCTATCGTCTTATTTTGTTACAATATGTTAAGCCAACATAACTAACATTGCATAATCTCATGTCAGTTAAACGTGATTTACTTATGTAATAATAACCATAAGAAAAATACTTTTTTAAGAACTGGGGAATGTAATACTTTCCCATAACCCATTTTAACACGCAGTCACACATTTAAAAACTTTTTGAAAAGTTCCTGTGGGAAATGACAGTGTTATTTGGGTCTATTAAAGCATCATTCTGGTTGCACAAACTTCAACGAGAAGTTGCACTGTGGTAATACTAGTATTTATCTTGGAGACAAGAGCCATTTTGCAAATTTGTGGTATCATTTCCCTAAACAACTCAGGACCAAATTGTACTTCATTTCCTCAGTTCTGCATTTCTGCAGAGGCAGAAAGAAACACAGCTCTCAACTTGTTTTTTGTAAACATTACTGAAAGAGTCGTGATAACTTTTTAATTCTACTATGTATACATATGGAATAGCATTACCAAGTGAAATAGAGAAGGATGTAATAGATTAGACATTTCTTCATTTTAGAAAGAAGATGGAAACAACATTGCTTTTCTTTTCTCAATCAAATATGTGCGAAGCAAAGGAAAAAACTTTTTTCAAGTTACTACATGGTTCAGGAAAAGAAGAAACAAGCAAAGAAGCCAAAATCAGGTAAAATTATAAAATTTTAAGTTAGCCTTATATTTTTAAAAGTATAATTGAGGTTGAATATTCATTACCACTTGTTTTTAAACTATTGGGTTGAAAATATATTGATTGTATTGTCATAATTGGGGGAAAATACCTTTTTATTTCTTAGGAGTAAACAACTAACTGTTTAAAGTGTTTTCATTTTAGAAAAAAGTAACAATTTTGGCTTCATGAAGGAACCAGTACAATCTTTATTGAAATATAACCTCAAATAGTTGATTTTGGGGGAGCAAAAAGAGAAACACTTCCATATGTTACCCTAATTCCTCCATAAATATAGTACTTAAATGGGATCATGAGTGTGTGGGGGTGGGGATAGGTGGGCATGGGTGTTTGCCAATTCCAAACTTTCCCGGTAGTCAGCAGGAGCGATTTTAACTGTCATCTCAATTTTCCTGACGCTGAGGCCTTTTTATTACAGAGCTAAGGAAAAAAGAAATAGACTAAGTCTTCTTGTGCAGAAACTTGAGTTTCATGAAGATGCCCACGCCAGCAGATCTGGGCACTTGGCCAAAGAAAGAAGGTGAATACATTTTCAGTATTTTAAGGAAGATTTTGCTGATTCTATCATTAAAGAGTTAAGAAAAGTTCAATTAGGGATTTCTACGTTATTGAAAATTGCACAGAAATATGAAGGAAGTCAGAAATTTCACTTGAACAAACTAGAAATATTTCACAAAATTAAACCACTTGAATTACCGCTTCAATTCAATAATACTATGAACACTTAAAGCTGCTCTTTGAAAATTACATACTTGTCAGTTTTAAATGATATATTTTACTCCTTATAACCTGATAAAACACTCATTAATTTAAGATGTTCACAATGCAATATTTTCATAGTGAAGAGTATTCACCTCTTTCCTCAGTAGTTTGAAAAAAAAAAACCCCATTATAGCAAGTAAAGTGTAAATAAATGTCTTTTAATATTTAGCATTTATTTAATTCAAAAAAAGCAAAAGCCTTATACACTAGTACTCATACAAATTCTTCTAAATTTGAGTATAATCTAAAAAAGATCCAAGAAAATATATTCAATTCTCCACATTATCAATATCTCTAAAATATTCCTTGTGTTAAAATATCTTACATTTCTTATCCCTTTGAAACTTTATTAGTCAAACTTCCTGTATCTCTTTAAAAAATTTTTTGCAGCCTAGTGTGGTTAGAGCTTCAAGGAAATTGCAGTATAATCTTTATTTTTTTAACTGAAAGATACTGTCGATTTAGTTTCTCCTACTGCTGAATTTAAAAAGATAGTTGAGCCTGATTTCTTTATATTTGTTCTCTGTGCCTTTTAACCTAACAAAGGATTAATTTTCAATTAAAAAATAAAACAACTCACATATCCCTGAGAAAAAATTAATGTTGTTTTAGCACATTATTCAACAGACAAATTCCAAAAGAAAATTGAACTTTTCAAAGTTTCTAATGTAAATACAACTTTCATTATATTATAATCAAAGGAGAAACTGTGAAATATGATTGAAAAGAGCAGTACAACAGCATATGTGAGAACAGATCCAGAAACAGACTTTCTGCGTCGTCCATTGTAAAACATTTTGTCTCTTGTACAGAGTCTCCCCTGAAGAAGCAGTGAAATGGGGTGAATCCTTTGAAAAACTGCTTTCCCATAGAGGTCAGTGGCACTTTCACCAAATACTTTATTGCTTAATGGAAAACCACACCCACTATGCATGTAATTATACAAAACGAGAAGTGACAAAAATTTTGCTGATCGGTAATTTTCAGTAATTTGATTTTCTGACCAACAGAAGTCACTAAATAATAGAAAAGTCAAATCATGGAATTTTTTAAAAATTCTCATTTTGTTTAGTATTGCCTACTATGGATGAAATATTATTTATACTGTAGTTAGTTTCAATTTTTAAATTTTTCTGATTTTTTAATAAAACCTTTGGCTTTATTAAATTCATGATTAACAAAATTATTCATGTTATTTTCATTGTTCAGTGATTAAAAAGATAAAGTAATTTTTTGATGGACATTCAGGAAACCCACATAAAGACAGTTTCAAAAAATATTTTATAAATTCATTCTGTACTTCATATCAATTGTCTATTTTTAAAGCAGCATTTTGTAGAGAGGTTGAGAATCAGGCATGTAATTAGGGGGGAGCTTTGTCTATGAGATGGAGGCTGAGGACAAGCTTCAAGGCCGCCTTTGACTCTGGAACCCTTTGATGATGTGGCCTGGCCTAGCAGGCAGGCTCCCTGGATTGCCAGTCCTTAGGGTCAATTTACATAAGGTAGCAAGTGAGTGAACTCTGTTATCTTTACTCATTCTATGCTTTCTTGCAGATATAAAAACCGAACTAAGCAGGTGATGGGGCTAGGCAATCACAAGATTTATTATTCTCCACCCTGAACTTGTCAAGAGTCTCCCAGAAAAGCAATGCTTTATCATTACCAAACATCCACTTCAAGCCCACAGCTTTTTTTTGCACCTCAAACTTGTCCAGTTTCTTTCCTTCGTCTCTGCCTGAAATACAGTCATTTCCCAGCTCTTCCAGACCCCTCCAAGTTGACACAAGCCAGACTACTCTAAGTGCTCCTTGTAGCACTGCCCATGGCATTCACATTTTAAGGTGTTCACGGGAAGATAGGATTCCTGTTGCCAGGACAGTTGGGAGTGGAATATTCGTAATTAGCCTCAAATACTGTGCTCTATTTGATGTAAGGACAGCTTTTCTTTTCTGACATGCTTTTTCTTTTTGTTGTATTCCCCTCCTTAATTGTCCAACTCTTTATAATGCCTTGGTGACCTTTTAATGTTCGCCTGAATTTACTGATGGAAGAATTCTGCCTCTGTAGATGATCCCTGCAAACCTACCCTCTCCCAATGAAAGCAGATGTCTACCTCTGACTTGTAGTATTTATAGGTAGAGATATCAAGGCTGAAACTTAGGCAAGGATGTCATCAATGAGAATGGAGAGGAGTGATAAGAAAGTTTCTGCTGAGAAAGTGTAACTTTTATTCCTTGTATTCCACACTTTTCTTTATTTCCAGTAAAGAACAATTCTTCAATTCTTTTTTTTTTTTTTTTTTTTTTTTGAGACCGAGTCTTGCTTTGTATCCTAGACTGGAGTGCAGCGGCGTGATCTCACTTCACGGCAACCTCTGCCTCTTGGGTCAAGGGATTCTCCTGCCTCAGCCTCCAGAGTAGCTGGGATTACAGGCACACGCCACCACACCTGGCTAATTTCTGCATTTTTAGCATGCTGGTCTTGAACTGCTGACGTCAAATGATCCAACTGTCTCAGCCTCCCAAAGTGCTGGGATTACAGGCAGAAGCCATCGTGCCCAGCCCCAGTATACAACAGTTTCTTAACTATTGTTAAAATTCTTGCCAAATCTATGTCGAACTTGTCTCATACTCACTTTCTTGCTCACACTGTCTTGGTTCAGTGTCAGATATGTCCTTCATAGATTAATTACCATGACTTGTGTAAAACTTCCTTCCATAATTCACGTCCCCCAAATATGTTTATTTTAAAATCTCCTCTTATAGCCAACATTTTGGTACCACACTGCTCTTTAGCCTCCTCTCCAGTCAGAGAAGGAGAAAAAGCAAAAGAGGACTGGGATGCAGTTCTTACAATAGAAGTATTTACTAGAAGGAACCATATGTCTTTTCATCTGTGGACCCATAATCCCAGACATCCCCTGAAAAAGAATATAACTGAATTTGTTTCCAGAAGTTAGTCCAGAGTTCTGGTGGAATTTGGGTTTCAGTTTTCTCCTGAAACATAAATGGTTGTATAATCTTAGTTAAGCTTCCCAATCACTCTGACTTTCAGCTTCCTCAACTGTAAATGAAGATAATGTTTTTAGTTGCAACAGAAATAGATTTCTGTCACGATTAAATGAGATGATGAATTAGAAACCAATAAATCTTAGACACTACACAAACGTCAATGATTGCTGCTATTATAAAAAAATAATAATTACTAATCAGTTTAATAATCCTTTTTCTGTTTCAAGTCTACTCACAACTAGATGAAGATCAATTAGAGGGTTAAAATTTCAATTGACAATAACATAGAGACAGGATTTATATCACTTAATAAATTGGTATACAATAATTTCATCATACTTTCATTACTCATTTAAAGCACAGAAAGGTTTAACAGGGTAATTAGTCCTACAGAAAAGCCTCACCTAGCATTCTGTAATCTTTTCTTCTTTACAAGTAGTAAAAAGCAAAAAGACAAAATCAAATCCACTACTCTCTCTCTCTTTTCTCTACCTGGTAATATGAAAGAGCATTAAACTACCAGCAATTTAAGTCAGGAAGCGACACATTTAAAATAACCAGCACTGACCCATTGGATATTATCACCTTTCATGATTACATTGCTAAATAGATTATATTTAATTCACAAAATTTATATTACCAGTATTACTTTACTCAATCCCCTCATCCAATTTTTAATTACAATGCTTATAATAATATTAAATTATAAAGCTTAAAATAATTACATAAAACAAGCCTTTTGGTTGCAATGCTTAAATTCCGTTTATTTCTATTTATTTGACCCCAGAATAAAAACGTGTGTCTGTGTGTGTGTTTGTGCAAGAACATATATATTTAAAGGGAAAGACTACACACACACACACTCTCTCTCTCTCTCTCTCTCTCTCTCTCTCTCTCTCCAAGAAAGACCTTGCTTTATCAAATTTTATAAAATTTCCTTTTGTAAAATTTTTCCTTCATAAAATTTCATAAAATGTGAACTTTCCTCAAAATCTGTATGCTATGTTTATTAAAAGGAAACAAAATTGTATTCAATTTAGTCAAATGCACAATGAAGTGATGAATCAAACCAGATACAATGGAAATTTGAGAATTCAGTTTGACAAAAATGGTTAATACTAAAACCATCATAAACTGATTATTAGCAGCTTTAGGAATGAAACCACAGGATAGATGGTTTCCACCCTAGATTTTAGGGGAGTAATCAAAATTCACTAACTGAAAAATAAGAGAAAGAGACTATTCAAGCAGAGAATCGGTATAGAAATGGGGTGATAATGCAATTCACTTAGGAAATTAAAAACAAAATAACTCTTCATTGAAAAATATAATTTGAAAAGGGATGGTGGCTTAGTGTGATAGACAATATATCCATGAGACCAAAACAGAAAGGTCACTGATTTTTGCTCTATTCCACAGAAATCAAATGATTCAGGGAGGTGTTCTGATCATTCTATTTTATTCAAATTTTGGTCACACACTTTAACTCTTTTAAAATTAAAAAATGAATAAAGTATGAACTTTAGTTAATAATTATGTATCAATGTTGGTTTAGTAATTGCAACAAATGTCCCATACCAATAAGATGTTGATAATGGGGAAATTAAATGGGGAGTGTACGACCTTCTTCTAAATCCATACTACCTTCTGCAAAATAGTTCTGTAAATCTAAATATATTGTAGAAAGAAATATTTTAGAGAATGATCTCAAGCATGTTATATAGTAAATTTTCACACAATGAAATCCACCAATAATTTAAATTTTGTTTCTTGTTTGGTTTGATGGAGCTATTACTCTAATTTTTTTCTGCTATTTCTATTTATTGTCAAATTTGCCTGAAGTTTCATAATAAATAATAAAAATGTATAGTTTAATACTACATATATATAAATAAGCAATTTATAAGGGCTATTTACATTTTAAAAGTAATGAAAATAAAAAATGAAATATCAAACTATATCTGTCATTTATAATCATAAATTTCCAATTTAGTTTTTATCAGTCTTCTCATTGATTGGCTTTATACATTAATTATATCAATTTGAACTTATAAAATCAATTGATGCCAGTAAAATACAGATGTATATTATACACACATGTGTGTTTTTATTTGTATACATATATGTATATGGCTCTGTGTAAGGCATCTTGGAAAGCAAAATGATACTGCTGTATAATACATAACTTTGAAAATAACTTGCTAAACAGTTTTAAAAAATTTTACGCAGCACTTGCAATATATCATGTGTGCTTTAGAAGATCACTAAAAGAGATTAAACAGATGTATGCCAGAATTCAACAGGCAAAAGAAAAGCTAATTCCTGAGATAAAGGCAAGAAAACGGTTAGAATAATAAGAGATTTTGACGTGATCTGGAAAAGCGTAAGTTTCCTTTGAGGCAAAGAGTAACAAACATATTGTATAATTAAGTTGAGAACAAACTTTGGAAGCCTTTCGGTGTAAAAAGTTAACGCTGAAGGTTAGAAAGGTAAAATTCTATGCATGTCATATGGACTACCTACACAGTTGTCATATAAAAGCTAAATTCAAAGTAAGGAGCACTTTGGGAAAAAAAATGGATAAACTTAGTGACTTAATCAGTGTGAATGTGTGTCATAGAATGAGAAGATGAGGGAACAGGAAACAAAAAATAAGGATGAGCCAAAGGTCCCTAGATTTTATTGTCATTATAATAGGAAAATAATGATGCCTGTAATAGATGTGAAATAGATGTGGATAAACAAGATTTGCAAAAAGAGAACAGGGTAGAGTTTGAACATTTTTTGCCAGTGGTAAACCTTATTAAAAGTTTTGCAGGGTTTTGTAAGTGCACACCTAGAATATGGAAGGCTGACTTATA